TGTTTTCACGATGCCGATGAATGATTGAATACAGAAGCATTCAAAGCAAGCTTCTCACTTCGACGGGGAAGAAAGATTTTTATTTTTTTATTTTTTTATGCGTGACTTGTTGAAGATGAAGATGATTTGATTGTGTTCAAGATAGAATGCAATTTATTTTCAATTCGTGGCCTAATTGGAATATGTAAATGTAATTAGGGTAGAATAAAAATAAAGTAATAGTTAAACACCCTAGTTTATAATTTTTTTTAATTAAGGGTACTTAAGTACTTACACTAGCTTCTTTTTTTATTATTTTCGTCATTAATTAATTAAGAGGACATGTGGCAGGATTTTAAAGGGGAACCTAATGTTAGGTAGGTACGAAGCTGGTACGAGGCAAATCTGATAATAGAATGCCCCAACAGAGAGTGGTGAATTCAATGATACTTATTTGAACATAGTAAGTAATTTACATGCTTACTGAAGAATAAATTTGGGTTGTTCCCCAGGAGAAAACAAATCTTCAACTTGATTATCGAATATCAATTGAACACAACTATTAAAGCTAGAACTGAGCACTTGAAAAAAAAAATCATGTATTGTAATGTAAGCTCCTGCGTTCGACCGAAGCAGAGCCTCACGGGCTTTAAATTTCAATGCACTAAAACAGATGATAAACTTAACATATAGTGACCAAAAGATCAGCTGCAATTCATTCCATATATCAACACAGACAATCCAAAACCAAACATCACTAACGTTCTAAACAGCTTAAATTTCAATTATCCGAAGAGAGAACAGAAAACAACTTATACAACAAGGAGAAAAAAGCTCGACTCAGTTATTGCAAGCGATTAACCAAACTGTCGAAGGTAATTTCAGCGGAACAACCTTGGCACAGATCGTTTTGGGATCTTGCCTTCCAGTTTCAATCTCCTGTAAGCTTCTCTAATGTGGCATGGCCTGATTGGTCCCGTATCCCCCCTCTCAGACATCACTATTCTGGCTGCAGTTCTTAACCCATCAGTAAAATGCATGAAAAAAAGAAAGAAACTCATTTACCCCCAAAGAAAATGTACCTGCTTCAACAAGCTCCCCAACAAACATTTTTGCTATTCCAGACATTACAATTGTCATGTGAACCGTGATTTTCGGACTTCCGGTTATACTTGTTAATAACTGCATAAAAACCCAAACAAAGATGAAAGAGACAACCTCGACTTGGACAAGTATTGGACAGATCCCCCCAAGAAAGTTACAGCATCAAGATATTATTAATAAAAGCATTTGCAACATACGTCTTATAGAACTACAATTTAATCCTTCTATCTCCATCCTTTTTAAGAGATGGAGCGGTGTTGCCTCGTCTTATTGGAACAGACGAACAGAGCATAAAATTGTTACATACCCGTTTCATGTTAGATCTCTGAAATCCAGACCTTCGAAATAATTCGTATCTATTCAACTGCTCCTCCGTGAATTGAGCTAAAAGTTCACTGAATAGAAGTTTTAGTCAAATGTACTCGAAACTGAATGACCAACACAAAACTTAAAGCCGAAGAAAGCATTTTTATCCACATGCAAAGAAAAATCAACAAGTGAGAATACAATTCCACTACTTTTGTTGCTTTGCAGCATCATGTCTCTGGTGTTACAAAGGGAGGGGTGGGGGGCTTCTCCAAAAATCATATCAGACAGGAACTATCACTTGGACTAATATATATCATTATCAATTTAGAACAAGCAAAACAACTTCCATATTTTTTTTCTATTCATTTTATCTTTTTTCTATTATAACTACATTGTGGAGAAGAAAATAAGAAAAAAAAGGGTGTACAAAGAAAGCATAGGGAAGGGTGATTACGATTTCAATTGAGGCCATGGAATGGAAGTCTCCTAATTTCTTTGCTCAAATAAAGTCTACTACAAATTCTAGATCACACAAGGAAAAAATCCCCTTCCAAGGGATTATTTTCAAAACCGATCATTAACAGATAAATCGCCGCAATTAACTATCCAACTTACTGCATCTTAGCCATTTTTGCAGGATCACCACCCCCGCGGAACTTTCCGAGCTCAACCTCCATGTTCTCTTCCTCCTCTTCCTCATCATCTTCCTTATTCTTCCCAACCGGGCCGGCAGCCCCCACCGGCACAGGAGGCCTGGAAGCTGGGACTGAAGCACTTATATTTGCATTTGTGTCCACATCTTCGCCGCCAGTCATGGTGGGCCCCGCCGAAGTCTGCATTTCATTCTCATTGACAGCAACAGGGGATTCCGGAGGTGTCTCCTCTTGCTCCTCAAAAGCTACCTCAAATGGGTCCTTTGATTTCTTCATACCACTTGGCTGCAAATGCACATCATTTACAAATTTGCATCAAAAGAAATACGTCATGGCGTATAAATGAAAAAAGTAAAAATTAAACTTTTCAAATCCTATGCTTGGCATATTAGGTCTATCCATTTATTTGGAATGTTCAAGTCAAAACAAGCAAATTAGGGCAATCACATACAAAAACTCTTTGCTAATGGTATGAATTTCGTACTATGCATGCTATTATCAAATTTCGGCTGAACTAGCAGCGCAATCTACAAATCTAAAGCCGAAAATATCCAAAAATCCAGACATACAATTTTCGAAAACGAACTAAAAGTAGAAGCCCAGATAAATTGAGCTAGTCTCAAACAAAACCCATCTTTGTTTTTACTCAGACAAACAAGAGAAAGTGAAAGAGATGAGAATTAACAACTATCATCGACACAGTGGCAGTTGGTACCAGCGTAAATTAGAATAATAATAACAAGTAAATAGAATAAATAAAGAATTACCGAGCTACGCGGGTAGAGTTTATGGGAAATTGGGGATTTTTTGGGATATTCAGCCGATCGGCAGTGAAAGTACGGTTACCGGCGAGGAGCAGCGCGCAGATCGCTGTGGCTCGTGAGCGGAGTGGAGGAATTGAAAGAGGAAAGAGCTATTTATCAAGGTTGGCCCTTTGTTAATCTAACGAACACGAGTTCCTCATTAATCTTCATCATCAACAATAATTTAATATAATTGATTCAAACTTAGGGTTAGTATCGGTTCGGTTACCGAATCGATAAGGCGAAACCAATACCGAACCGCCATTTTCGGTAACAGTTAACTAGGGAACCAAAACCGTTCCGACTTATGGTCAGTAACCGAGTTTCCGATTCGTACCGTACCCATAAAAATCGACTTAGCAAGCATGAGTGCATTGGGCCTCCAACAGAGTTCCCAAAACATGATGCCCAAAAATTCAGAATGTGATGCCCAAATATACAAAAATGCACTTTGTTCTGCATTCAAATTTCAATGACATTCAAACTGCAGGCCTAATTTTACAAGAATGAGAAAAAAAAAGGTTGCAGCATAAATACCAGCCGAGGACTGAGAAAAGCGACTCCGACGAGTGACAGAAGCGGCCGGCCAATCGCGGCTCCAGTTGACAAATTGCGACTACTTGTACCAGCCCTAGACCCCTACCTTAGAGCTCGACTTTGTGAATAAACAATCGCGAGCGAGATGGTCAGCGAACAATCGCGAATTGAGGATTGAGGTTATATATTATTGTTTTTTAATTTCTTAGAGGAACGCTTATGGGTTACCGTAACCGATATCAGTTCGGTAACCGAATATCGGTTACAGTTACAAACGGCTTGGTTTACTTTTCAGTTTCGGTAAAAAAATACTAGCCCATAAATACCAAATCAAGAGCCGCCAAAAGATGATTAATTCAATAATTCTTATATGAAAAAAAAAATACATAATATAAAAATTATAAACTTTTAAAATATGATATAATATATGGTATTTAATAAATAATATAAACGAGAATACATAATCTATTACTATATAATTACGCAACGCGCAACTCACTTACTAAAAATAGTAAGTATTTTTTTTAGTAATTATTTTAGTGGGTCCCTCATTATATTACTATTTATAGAAAGTTAGTTCCAATTTTTTATTATTTTATTAAACATGCTTCAACTTCCATTAATTATTTTTTTTTCGTTTTTAATAATAGGTTAATAGTAAAAATGGACCTAAATTTGTTATTACTATTAATAGATGGGCATTTTAAAATGTTTTGTTTGTGTTGATTTCTCATTAATATAAAAGTAAGTTTCTTTTTACATGTACATGATATGTTGAATCACGGTGAATTATTTATGATGTATGTTAAATAATAATTTATATTTAAAGTCTTCCTAAAAATATGAAGATACTAGATAACAATATGGTACTTATTTAAACAAAAGAATGGTTCACAAATAAAGAAATTGTAAATATATGTATAGAAAATTATAGTTAATAAATAAGATAACATTATAAATTATAAACCGGACAATTAAGAAATAATATATTCAAGTGTCAAAATACGATCTAAATTACATGATAAATTAAAACAAAATGTAATAAAATGTGATAAGATAATAAAATAATTTGAGAATTTTTTTATACCCCAACTATATATATTTGCACATTTAGTACATGATGTTCCAATTAAATCAATTTAATTACTCAACTTTTCGTTTATCAATAAATTTTGGTCTACATCCTTAGATTTCATAAAAAAAAAAAAAATAAATAAATAAATAACGGTTTTAGAAAGAAATTTGTTAAATTCATGGAAAATTATATAAAAAAACTATATAAAAAATTCATTAATACTATGTCAATTTGTTCTATTAATAAAAAAACTAAAGAATATATACATATAGGAATCTACTTTTAGGCTTTTAATTCTGAACTTTACATTGTTGTTTCTCGAGTTACAAATAAAAAGACAAGATACTGATATATAATGAGTAAAGATGCTACGGTCCTGTTACAGAACCAATATGTCGGGATTTGTAACCGTCAAATCAACTATCTCTGACCGTTATATGTTGATCTAACGGTTACAAACCCCGACGACATGATTCCGTAACAGTACCTTAGCATTTCCCTATAATGAGAAATAAAATATACAGATATAAACATTGTATATAGTAGTCTATTTTAATTGCATATAAAAATTATTTATTCTATTTATGTTTCCTTATTTCATTATTTTTAATAGTTCTGTGCATTTGCACGGGCCACGATACTAGTATCATTAATCGTATGATAAGATTTGATTTGGGAAAGAGAAATGACAAATATAAACCCATACTCACCAAAATTATAAATAAACAATATCAAATACCAACACTAGTTCCAAAGAAATAATATTTATACAAAACAAACCAAATTATAAAGCACATAATTTTGCTATATGAGCATCTGAAGAGTGTGAGTTTTCCACTTATTGCTAACACATTTTGAATTAAATATGGAATAATTCTTATTTAAACTATTTTACAGTACGATATTTGAATATAGAAGTAATCATATTTGTAAAAAAAATATATGATTATCTAATC